CCACCCATAGGCGGGGCAGAATGGGGGTGACTTACTTGACTTGGAACATAGTTCCTGGGCCAGAAGTCCCCCCTGGGTCAGTCTAGATGTCCTAGAGGTCTCTGCCTCAGGCTCAGCCTCAGGCTCAGCTTTTTCCTCTTGCACCAGCCGCTGTAGGGTCTCAAACTCTGTGATCATGTCAGGAGTCAGGAGGTTGGCTGACTGGAGCAGGGAGTACTGCCGCTGGGCCAGGCATAGCACCTTCAGAGCCAACCTGAAATGGAGGGGTTACATTACTCACACCTGTCGTCTGTGCCACACACCTGCCCTCATCACTCCAGGTTTGGTAGAGGAGCAAACCAGGTTGGTCCCCTGGCTCCCCATCTTGCTCAAACTGCCTGGAGGTCCTCATCACCCTCCCAGCCCTGGCTCCTATTCCGCCAAACCCTTGCGGAAGGCCCACGGTGGCCAGGATGGCCACAGGCCACAGGTGGGAGGTTCCACCCACTAAATATGCCCCATGACTAAGACAGTGACCTGGAAAGAAGGGAAGGGCACTAAGTGGACTTGGACTCAGAGGTCTGAGCTTTTCCTCAGCTGTCACTTACTGGTGATCATTAGTTCATTAGCCCTGGGGAAATGGAAAGCAGCAGCTAAGAGCCCACTTCAAGTCAGACGGCCAGGGCCCTGCTAAAACCCCAGCTCCAGCCTTTCCCCGCTGTGTGATCTTGGATGTAATCCTCAGTATACACAACCTTAAAATGGGAGCGACAAGCACACCTACTTCATAGGGATGTTGGAAAGGTTAAGCCTTTCCCTGCTGTGTGATCTTGGATGCAATCCATTAACCTCAGTATACACAACCTTAAAATGGGAGCGACAAGCACACCTACTTCATAGGGATGTTGGAAAGGTTAAATGAGTTTTCTTTTTTAAAGTTTTACAATAGGGCATGTGCACACGCCAGACAGAGAGAAGGAAAGTGAGAAATCATTTCCGGGAGGGATGGCCATGCTGCAACCTCTTCTCCACTGTCCTCTCAGGATTGTGAACAAGCATGTACACAAGCTCAGTGTGTTTTCTTTCTCTTTCTTTCTTTTTAGGTTTTTGCCATAGGGCATGTGTGCTCGCCACAAAGAGACACAGAGAGAGAAAGTGAGAAATTGCAGGGGATGGTCATGTGACAATTTCTTGTCCTCCATTCTGCTCTCGGAATTTGGGCATGCACACATATGCACCCAGTGTGATTTTCAAGCTGCAGAATCCTTGGCTCAAACTGCAATCAACCATGTGAGTCCAGCACCTCAACTACCATGCCACCTGCTGGCCCCAACTTAGCATATTTTCAAGCCACTAGGTTTGGGACTCGAGCCACGTAGTCTGCCATATGGGATCCAGTTGCCTTAACCTCCATGGCACCTGTTGGCCCTAAATGAGTTATTTTATATACAAAATGTTTAAAGAATACCTGATAAAAGTTTAGCTACCTTTATAGAAAAAATGTCAGAAGGCACAAACACTCGTTAGAGAGAGAGAGAGAGAGAGAGAGAGAGAGAGGCAGGTAAGAGGGAGAAAGCACCCCCCCATGGGGAATGGTCATGCCACATTCCCTCCTCCTCCATCTCTCTCAGGACTTTGGCATGCGTGCACATGTGCCCAGCATGTTTCTCAAGCTGCTGGGTCTGGTACTGGAACCAAGGAGTCGGCCATGTGGGATCCAGCATCTTAACCACCATGCCACCTGCTGGGCTTCCTTTCTTCTTTTTTTTCCACAATGGAAATAATACCATATACCTTGTTAGGATAAGAGGAGATTTAAAAAGATAGGTCATGTTCATTTCGGTTCTGAGACGACCCTAGAAGGCATTCAGTCTATCCTTTCTATTTAATGGTTGGGATTCTGAGAAAGAATGTATGAGTCAATGCATATTTCAAATGCACTGTGGGCTATTTAAAGGAAATTATGAAGGTAATGCGATTATTGATATTATAAATTTAGATTCTAATAAAGCAAATTTTCTTTCTGTAAGGCACACCTATGATAAAAGAATAAACACAATTATCTCAGTGGGGATTATTCATGGACAAGTATTTATCCTCAGGTAGTTCTACCTGCCTGGACATCTCTGAATCCCCTCTGCTGCCCCCAGTCCGTGTGTGCTCAGGAACTCTAACTCATTTTAGAAAGCAGCCTCCAGGCCTTTTTGAAAGAATAGGATATAAATTAAAAAGGACACAGCAGAAACATATCCTCTCTCTGCCTGAGCCACACATTATGAGGAAGACTAGACTACTGAGAAGAGTAGGTGTTCGGGGGGAAATGAGCTGGCCTAGAGGTCAGGTCCAGGGTCTGGTCCCCTATCCTGCTTGCTCTGTGGCCTTGTGCAAAGGCCAAAGCACCCCATCTGACAAATGGGGAGTTGGTCTAAATTAGGGGCTTCCAAATTAGGTTTCAAAAACCCATCAGACTGAGCCACTCTGTTCTGTCTGTTCTATGTATTGGATTTTAGCATAAGATTTCATCTGAAGACAAGACTTGGCAGTTAAAAAAAATTCTAAAAAACAACTGAACTGTGAAATCTAAGCTCTACTTAATGCTCTGGTGGTGCAAGATTCTAAATTATTATTATTATTATTACTATTATTTTAAAATTTTGCCAGAGGGCACATGTGCTCACCAGAGAGACAGAGAGAGAGGGAGAGGGAAAAAGCACCTCCTCCCCACCAAGTATTAGGGATTGCAGAACATTCTAGATAATTTCCATGTTTGGAAATACTCTAACAACTAGATCATCGAAAATTATTTCTCTTTGACTTCAGAATGAGGGCATGGCCATGCCACAATCCTTTCTCAATTTTCTCCATCCTTTTGGAATTTGGAACATGCACACACATGCATTGGATATGTTTCTCAAGCCACCAGGTCTGGGACACAAACTGCAAGGTCAGTACAGCTACCTCAACCACCAGGCCATGGGCTGGCCCTCAAGATTCTAAATTCTGAAGTCAAAGAGAAATCATTTTCAATGATCTAGTTGTTAGAGCGTTTCCAAACATGGAAATGATCTAGAATGTTCTGCAATCCCTAATACTTGCGGTCTACTATCACATTAGTACATTTTATTCATCTCCAAGAAGCAAGGAGAATAAAGGCTATGATCACCAACTCATAAACAAAGTTGAAACAGCTTGTCAGAGACAACGAAACCAAAGAGCCAGCCAGGGTCATAGCAGTAGCCAACACTCTGAGATGCTAGACCTATATGGGAAGGTCCCAGGTTCATGACCCAAGGCTTCTCTGAACAAGTTGGCTATATGTGTGCCTATGATCTGGGCTGACTGAGGCTGGGAGCAAATCCCGGCCTGAAGACCCTATTGGGGGGACCTCTCTCTCTCTCATGCTTATTTCTCTAGAAATAAAAAAAAATGGGGGGAGGGTCAAAACAGAAAAGAGGACCTAAGTATTCCCTTTCCTCATAAGAGGGATGCCAAGCAGAGAGACCCTGAATCATGAGTGGGAGTCTGAGGCTGTTCTCTGGGGGCCCAGGGGGACATCCCGCCAGTGCATCCCCGCTCTCCAGGGCCCCGGGGAGTCGGCAGCAGGAGATAGATAATAAGCCGCTGATTATTCAGGCTGCAGCATTTTTTGCTGAGTCGGGAACAGACACTCCCCAGCAAGAAATAAAATTAAACAGGCCCTTCTGTCCGGAAGCTTTAAATACACTGCCTACCGTGAAGCGTGCTGGGAGGGAGGAGCAGGCTGGCAGCAACAAAGCTAAGTGGCAGGGGATTTATGTACTGGGGGCCAAGGGAAAAGCAATCCTAGCAGCCCCTGCCTCTAAGCACAGAAAGGAGGGCCCAAAACCCATTCGCTTTGCCTTTAGGAGGTGTTTTGTATTTACTTCTGAGAAAAAAACAGCCTTGATCTGTTGATGAAGCCACCTGGTAAACACCTGACTCAGGAAGCCTGTCCCGTCTTCCACCCAATGCTCGCCTGCCCTGGCTGCTCCCTCCTTGCGGAGGACAGGCAGCGCTGCCCTCCGACTAGAAAGCAGGGCACTCACCCAGGCGGCCCTGCCCTAACTCCGGGCTTGCCAACTGTCTGGATGGCGTTTGCTTTTGCTTCCCACTCCTGTCGGGCTGCCAGCTTTGTGGAGGAGCGAGTCGAGATGATGACATGCAAATACAGTAGGTGACAAAATCAAGGGGTTGAAAGCAGACAAGGGACAATGGTGATGGAAAGAGACTAGACTGGGAACTAGACAGAACCAGAGCTCCTGTGATGTGCTTAACACCAACTGCCGCCCCAGGAGGCCAATCCCGTCACTTCTGCCCTCGGGCTCCAGAGTAGAGCGAGAAGATACCTACTCCTTAGAACGGTCTCTGCCCAGCTTCTGCGGCGAGAGGTGGCCCACGACAGGCTTGGGCTGCAGGGTCAGGCTGGGGGACCCTGGCAGTGGGTGCCTGCAGTCCTGCTCTGGTATCTGGGTTGGAACCTAGAGAGGAAAGAAGAGGCACAGGTGAAGGAGCCAGAATAGACGCCCCCTCCATGTACACAGTGGCTCCTACAATCTCCCCCTTCTCCCAGGGTGGGAATGACAGCTCCCAGGATGTATAGGTCTGATAGTTTCCTAATGACTAAGATGTCAGACATCTAGATAGAGAACTGAGACCGAAGGGATTCTGAGTCAGGGAGAGGAACTCCTTTTGTTGTTTGGAGAGGTTTTTGCTATAGGGCATGTGTGCTTGCCAGAAAGACTGAGAGACAGAAAGCGAGAAATCACCCCCCAGGGGAGATGGCCACGCCACAATCCCTTCTTCTCCATTCTCCTCTCAGGATCTTGGGCACGCACGCACATGCGCCCGGCATCAGTTTAAACCACCAGGTCTGGGACTCGAACCATAGTTGACTACATGGAGTCCAGTGACATAGCCATTATGCCAACTGCTGGTCCCAGAAAAGGCTCCTTCTAATACCCGACCAGCAACAAGCCTTCCCGAAGCTCAGACCTCACGCCTCCAAATCCTACCTGCTCGGCTGGGCCTTTGTCCTTGTCCTTTGAGGGCTGCTCCTGGTCTGAAGAGTTCCTTCCCATGACCTTCTCCACCTGCGTCTCTGTCCCCAGGCTCTCCTCTTGAAGGGTTCTAGACCCCACCTGGAGCGCTGGGGTGCAGGGCTGCCTGGGAGGGCAGGGTGGTGAAGGGGAGCTGGCCAGGCTACGGGGGAAATGAGAGTCTGAGAGGCAGGATGTGGGACAGGCAGGAAAAGGAGGGAGCAGGCAGGATCGCAGTGGCACACAGGAGGCATACAGGTCAAAGATGGAGGTGTGGGTGCCAAGGAGGGCGAAGGAGTCACGGATTTTCTGGTTTAAGAAACAATGATTCCCAACCTCCAAATGCGCCTTCTCTTGTGAGACAGCTACTGCTTATACAGGCTAGTGTGGCATCAACTCATTTGCACAGAGCATTCTAGGTGGCCATAGGCTGCTGGGCCCTGGGTGGGAACCCTAACCCTATGTGCTGGAATAGAAGCAAGGAGTCTTAACCCTCCAGAAGCTGGAGAAGGGGGTCGTGCTCCCTATCCTGGCCACACTGAAGGTGGGGGGCAGGTGAGGGCAGTAGAACTCACTGTTGTTGCGATGGACCCAGCTGGGGGGACCGTGGGAGATCCTGTTGTGCGGGCTGGGCTCCTGCCTCATACTCTTGGAGCTTCTTCCTCAGAGCAGCCACCTGGAAGAGAAGCAGCCAGTGCCTCAGAGCCCTGGCTGAGCACAGGAGGCCAGGGGAAGGCACAGGGCCCTGGCTACACCCACAGTCCTGTCTCCATTCTCAGCCCCCGTGCCTGCTCTTCAGGAGAGCTCCTCACCTCCGCCTGGAGCTGCTGGCAGATGGTGGCATACTGGCTGATGTGACAGTCCAGGCTGATCACATTGTTCTTCAGCTGAGATGGGGGCACAGGGAAAGATTAGTTTGTTCAATCACAGCAGCTTTTCTCAACCACCTCCAACAGCCAAGCACAGTGCCTAGCTCCTGGCTGACTCTTCTGTGACACCCTCGCCTGGGCAAACAGACCAGAGACGGTCGCTAACGTGCCTGAGGTCATGGCAAGAGGCAGAAGATTGCCTTTGAACCCAGACCCTTGACTTCCTGGCCAAGACATTCTGGCCAGGAGTAGGGCTTGTTCGTAGTAGCTGCAGGCATGCCAGGGCACCCCGAGGAGGCAAGAGGAAGCAGGGCAGATGTGGCAGAAACCAAAGCAACTCTACTTTGATCTGTGTCAATACATAGTGATGTTTCCATTTTGCTGAACATAGGGCCCTGCTACTAAGAATAAGTCTGAACCAGGCCACTGGCCCAAACCCAGCACCCCTCCGTGGACTCTTTGGCTTTGGGGCCTGCCCTGCCTCTCCCCTACTGAAGTCTTCCTACCCAAGGATGGAGACCATGCCATTTCTATCACAGAGAGTCTCACTGAAGACAGTGCCTAGGGAACTACTTTCTTCTTGGAAAACAGGTCCAGGATCTGAGGAGGCTGTCTGGATCTGTCCTACTCCCCTGATGCCTGGGGTTCCCCCACACCCAGCCAGGCCCAGTCCTGACTGCCACGCACCGAGAGCCTGATCTCCTTGGCCCGGTCGGCGTACTTGAGGGTGTTGTAAGTGTCCTCGTAGGCCAGGCTGGAGGGGCTGATGGCTGCAATCATCACGGTGCGGCAGTTGCCCCCGATGGAGTCCTTGAGCAGGCGGGTCAATTTGCTGTCCCGGTAGGGCACGTGAGACTTGCGGCCCTAGAGGATAGTGACTGGGTGTGGGGCGAGGTAGCCAGACTGGCGAGCCCAGGGCTGGAGGGAGGGGCCATTGGGTTTGGGTGCTCAGTGGCTGTCCTGGGGAGGACGCCGGAGCCGCACTGCCTTACCTTCGCGTCGGCCAGGGCGTTGAGGACGTTGATGAGGGCCAGCAGAGAGCGGTTGATGTTGGCACCCTCCCGCAGCCGTTCCCCCTTGGCGTGGGTGCTGGACGCACGCTCTGAGCCAGCCAGGTCGATCAGGCTCATCTTGGCCACCTGAAGAGCCTGGGTCAGTCCTGGAACGCGGTCCTGCTGCTTTACGAAGATCTGAGGGCAGACGAAAGTGGTGAGGAGGACCGGCATTGGGAACGCTGGCTTCAGGCTCTGACCCTACCCCTCTCACCTGAAAGATGGCATGGGAGCGGGAGGAAGTGGCGTTGGCATCCGTGGGGTGCTGCGTGCGGTTGCGGTTGCCCCTCGTCAGCATCTCCAGCAGCTGCTCAGCTGAGGTTGGCTACAGAAAAGATGCCCAAGAAGGGGCTGTGGTCTCTCCGCCAGGACTTTCCCCTATCAGGAAGGGCTGCTCCTCAGAACTAATGTCAGCCCCTCTGCTGCCACCACTGCGGCTACCACCCCAGGATCCAGGGTATCCCCTAAGTGCCTCGAGGGAGCCCCACCGGAGCAGTGGGGCTGCCCATCCTACCCGAGTCCAATCCATACCTGGTGGAAAGAAAGGCCTTGCACTACCACTCCCTTGTCGGGGTCCTCACGGATGGCGAGCGGTCCCTTGGGCTCCAGGAGGTCGTGGATCTGCTCATTGTACACCTGAGAAGGGAAACAAGGACAAGGCCTGAGAAAGAGGTGCCCACTGGGAAACCTCTCTCCCTCGAGGCTGGGAAGGGCCAGACTGCTGGTGGGGGAAGCACGGGACGGGTGCGTATCTGACACCATGCCAGTGGCACTTCGCAGGATGATGTTAAAGGACAAGAGCAGAGTGGGCAGGGTTCATTCTCACGCAGTCTTCCCCAAAGCTGTATCTGTGCCCTCGGGGCTCTCACTGGGCCCAAGTTCTCCACCTCCTACCACCCTCTTCCCCACCGGTTTAGCCTGCTCCCCCACTTCCCTCTTCAGGTAGCTGAGAACGAGGGATGGCACTGCTTGGTCCAGGGGTTGGGGAACAGCCCTGCCTACCTCCTGGTAGTTGATGAGCACCTCAAATCGCTTCTCCTCCTGCCGGGCCTCAAGACGTCTATACAGTTCCATGGTGGTCAGGTACATGATGCCAGGGTCCCCCTCCCTGCCCAGCATGGTATGTGTCTTCCCGGCCCCGGTGGCCCCGTAGGCAAACACTACAGAGGAGAGTACAGAGGAGGGTAGTAGCAGGGTCAGGTCTGCCTCCTCTAGGGTCTCCCCCAGCTCGGCCCTTCGTTCCTCCTGAATCCACTCTCCTTTGCCTTCCATGGCCACCCCTTACTGTGCCTGCTGCTCACGTCCACGGGCAGCGTTTGCGTTCTCCATGTGTCTATCCTGGTTCACTACAGGCCTGTGAATTTGAGGGCAACGGGATTCCAACATGGTGGAGCTATCCCTTCCTTCTCAGTCTTGGTAGCTTCCTCTGTGGCAGGCCCACAATTCTGTCCCTCCTCCCACTTACCAGTTTTGAGTGTGACTTTGTGATGAAGGGGACAGGAACCTTGTCTGTCTGATTTGCTGAGTATCCTAGGGCCCAGTGGTGTGTCATACACAGTAGGTGAATGAATGGGGACCCCAGAGAATGAAAGGACCAGAGCTCTCAAGTCGCACCCAGCTGGAGGGGTGGGGGACCCGTCAGGAGGCGGGTTCTCACCTGAGCAGTTGTAGCCCTGGAGGAAGCTGTCCAGGATGCTGTGAGTAGTGTGTTGGAACACTTCCCGTTGGGTGGCTGCCTCGCCGAAGACCCGGTCAAAGGCGAACGTCAGGTCTTTGCCCTTCTTCTTGGGGCCATCATGGGTGCCGCCCCATTTCAGACCAGAGAACCCCCCATCGGGCTCCTCAGGGTCAAACACCAGCACTCGCTCATCTACCACCTGAACCACGGGCCGCCGTTGACTCTCCAACTCCCGAGGGGTGGGTGGCCGCACCCGCACCACCACCTGCACGGTGCTGTCCTCCTCTGCCATCACCATGGCGACGCCTGGGCAGAGACAGGATGGAGACGAGGACTAGTCAGACCTCAGGCCCACCCAGGGGCCCTCTCAGCCTATGATGGCCTCTTCTACCTCCTCCCCAATGGCTCGTCTCCATTTTATACCACAAGGGAGCAAAGACTACTGGTGCCAGCACCAATTACTAATAAATACCTCTTTCTTGTGTTCAAATGATTACATTTTCTTTATTTTTTTGTATTTTGATTTTGCCAGAGGTTATGTGGGCTTGCCAGAGGGTGTGTGGGCTCACCAGAGAGAAACAGAGCGAGAAGGAAAGGGGGAAAGCAGTTCCTATGTGGTCATGCCACAATTCCCTCTCCTTCATTTTGGCCATCATGTCAGGATTTGGGGGCACGCATGCACATGTGCCTGGCCTGTTCCTTAGGCTGCTGGGTCTGGACTCACACTGCAGGGTTAACTCTGTGGGATCCGGCTGCCTTAACCACCAGGCCATGGAGCTGGCCTACAATGGCTGTATTTTCAAAAATGTATTACTGGGCTTTCTATTACGTTCCGCTAATCTATCTTCCTACTCTTGTACCAACATCGCATGGTTTGCATTATATCATTTTATCTAGGAAGGCAAGAAACCTTCACTTTTTTCTTTTTCTTAACTTTCTTGGCTATTTTTAGGCAGTTATGATGCCATTTGACTTTGAGAAAATGTTACCAATTCTACTCCAACTCAGAATGCCCCTCTTTCCTCAGGGGGGAAAAAAAAAAAAAACCTATTGGGATAACAGTTGGAATTGCATTAGATTTACATATTTACTTCATTATATTAAACCTTTTCAGGCAAGAACATGGCGATCGCCTTTCCATTTGCTCAGATATTTTTTATGTCCTTCAATAAAATTTTATAGTTTTCTATCTCTTTAGATAGTTTCTGTAATTGTCTTTTTAATATAATTCCCAAGTATTTTATGGACTTAATTGCGCTTATGAATGGAACACCTTCTCCCATTTCCATTTCCAGCTGGTAAGAGCTAGGATGGAGAAACACAATTGATTTTTATATATTTGCCTTATATCCACTACCCTCAAACACTCTTATTTAATTTCAATAGTTTTGATTAGTGCTTCATGGGTATGCATTTTATTTTAGAAAGTATGAAGAGGAAAAGTGTATATTATATATTAGAAGGGAAGTATATATTATATAAGTAACTATTATATATTAGTATTTCTAAGTATTTAATATATTTTAGAAAGGAAAAAAATGACCTCTTCTTCTCTATGTATCTCATTTCTTAGCTACTGTAGTATCTAAAACCTCTATAATAATGGCCATAATGGACATTCCTCTTTTGTTCCTGATTTTAAAGCGCTTCACTATTTAAAAATTAGTTGGGGACAAACAGTCATATTCATAATTTTTTCTTAATTTTCTTAGATCTGTTATTAGGTAATCTAAGGCTCTTTCGGCATCTCTTGATATATTTATATGGGTTTTTTTCCTCCTTTATTTTGTTAATGTGGTAAATCATTTGATATTATTCTTGGTATCAAACCAACCATGTATTCCTGGGAAAAATCCTACCCTACCATAGTGATGTTTCAAAATTTAAATGGTCAAATATGACATTTCTTTTATAGTTTTAATTGTCATATTTCAGAAGATACCTCTTTTCCAAAGTAAGAAGTGCTTTTCTTATATTTCTAATACTTTTTCTTTTTAAAAAATTTATTTCTTGTTGGGGAAGGGCACTCCCAACAAGCCAGGATTCTCCTTCTAGTCCTACAGCCAGTCAGGATCACAGACATATCCAGGGAGACCTTAGGGTACGAACCCGAGATCTTCCCGTATTGCATTGGCATCATGGAGCAGTGCCCCTACTGCCTATACCATCATAGCTGATCACATTTTATTTTCGTTGTTGTTGTTCTTTGTTTGTTTTTTTCAGTTTTGTTATTGGGCATGCGTGCTTGCCAGAGAGAGAGAAACAGAGAGAGAGAAAAAGAGAGAAAAAGTGAGAAATCACTCCCCAGCAGGGATGGCCACACCACAGTCCCTTCTCCCCGATTCTCCTCTTGGGATTTTGGGCATGCATGCACATGTGCCCAGTATGATTCTCAAGTCGCCAGGCCCAGGACTCGAACCATGAAGTTGGCCATGTGGGATCCGGCACCTTAACTTCCACACCACCTGTTGGCCCCACTTTTGCTTTTTACATTTAGGCCTTTATGGAGATGGGATTTATGTTTTTTTTTCTGGTGAACTTACATGAAGAGTTTTCTAAACGTTTTTTCTTTCCAATTGGTAGACAATGATCTCAAGGCCATTCACTGAATAGTGCGTTCTTTCCCCACCAATTTGAAATGACAAATTTAACATAAATCCCCATACAAACATGAACTTGTTTCTGGACTATCTGTTTTGTTTCACTAATGTATGTATTCCTTTTCTGGCTGGTACCTCACTGTCATAATTACTGTGGTTCTATAATACATCATCCCATTGTTCTTTTTCATGGCTATTCTTTTTTTTTTTTTTTTTTTTAATAATTGCTTATTTGGGGTTGCAGGTGGTGTGGTGGTTAAGAATGCTGGCCTTCTACATGGCCGACGGTGGTTCAAGTCCTGGACCTGGCGGCTTGCTTTCTCACGTTCTCTCTCGCACTCTCTCGCTCTGTCCCTCTCTAATAAAATGAAAATAAAGAAATGAAGAAATGAAAGTTAAAAAATAAAAAAATTCTTTAAAATAAACAGAATTATTTGTTTAATTTTATTTATTATCATTATTTTTAAATTTGCCACAGAGCTCTCACTAGAGAGAGACAGAGAGAGAGAAAATGAGATAGTGAACTGTCAGATATGGGACTTGAACTGTGGTCAGTCATGTGAGAATCCAGTGCCTCAACTCACCACATCATCTGCCAGCCCTATTCTGGCTATTCTTGGGCATCTTGTTTTGTGTACGATTTTAGAATTGGCTTATAAGGCACAGTCCCAGTGGCACAGGAGTAGTGTGATGCTAGAAGTCATGGAATATCAGGGTTTGGGGCCCAGGGTGACCTACCTGGACATGTTGGGGGAGGGGGGAACAAGCATGTGTCCCTGTGGTCCTGGGTAGCTGGGAAGGGCTGAGGGAATGGGTTACAGTGTGAGACCTTATTGGGGATGCTTGTCTTTTTCACTCTCTCAAAACTAAACTAAAAAAAATTCTTTTTAAATCAACTTATAAAGTTCTATTAAAAAAGACCTGCTAAGATTTTAATTTGGGTTATTTTGAATTTATGGATTAATATGAGAATAATTGGCATCTTTATAATGTCAAGTCTTCCCATCTCGGAACTGGTATCTCTCCCCATTTATTCACAACTTTATGATCTTCAGTAAAATTTTATAATTTTCCTCACATGGGTATTGTACATTTCTTGATAGGCTTATTACTAGTTATTATATAGTCTTTTAAAATTGCATTTTGGGGTTGGCTGCATAGCACAGTGGTTAAGTGCTGTGTGGAGGAAGCTGGATCCCACATGGACAACCATGGTTCGATTAAAATTTTTATACACAAAATGACATTTTCAAACTCACTTTTGTCAAAATATAGGAAAGCTGCTGACTTCCGTATGCAGATCTGGTATCTGGCCACAATGCTGAACTCCCTTATTAGTTCTAATAGATTGTCATTGATTCTCTTAAGCCTTTCAATTAAATGATAATATAGTTTGCAAATAATGACAGTCACTTTCTGTTTTTAGCTGGTCTATATTTAGTTCCTCACCCTCCACTGCCCATTAGGAATGGAGGGCCGGGTGCTGAATTTACATGTCTTTTGGCACGGGCTGAACTGATCACCAAGTATTTCTGCTTCAATCTGTTAATATATAGTGTGACACAACAGATTTCCTGATGCTGTCCTGGTCATCATTCCAGACGCCTATTTGCCTATTCCCAGCCTCTCTCCCTGGTTTCTCATTTCTCCTTTGAGTCTTACCAAGAGATAGGGATGGAATTTGTGGCATGCAGGAGTCACAGATGACCTGAAAAAGTTTAATTCGACTCTAGGGCTGTTCCTTAGGGCTATGAAGAGATGAATGCTTTCCAACAAAGACAATAGGTCACAGCTCCCAAGGTCACCAGCAAAGAAAAATAGGTTTTTCTCCCAAATACTCCAGCAAACAGCTCAGTCTGTCCTTGAGAAAGAGGCAGGATTAAGCTGATTTGAAATTCCTGTTCCCTTATCCCTAAACTTCTTAACTTCTTCCCCACACAAAATAAGGGAAAGGTGTCAACCAACAATCATTATTTTGCATGTGTCTCATTCTTTTTTTTTTTTTTTTTTCCAAATTTGCAGGAGTGTGCATGCGCTCACCAGAGAGGGAGAGAGGGAGGGAGGGAGAGAGAGAGAGAAAGAAAGCACTCCCCAAGGGACATGGTCCTGCCACAATCTCTTTTCCTTTGTTTCTCCGTCCTGTTGGGACGTTGGGCACACACGCACAAGAGTCCAGTGCGTCTTTCAAGTCCCTAGGGCTTGGAATCAAATTACTGTCAGCCATGTGAGAGTCACCGTCCTTAACCACAGGAGCAGTCCATAAATGTGTGTAATTCTGGGGCTAGCAAATAGTATCACGGTTATGTTGCTGGACTCCCACAGTCGACTGTGGTTCGAGTCCTGGACAAGCGACTTAAAACTCAGGCCAGGTGCATGTGTGTGTGTGTGTGTGTGTGCCCCAAATCCTGAGAGAATGAAGGAGAAGGGATTGCAGTGTGGCCATCCTCCTTGGGAGGTGAGTTCTCACTTTCTGTCTGTCCAGTGAGCACATGAATATGGCAAAACTCTCTCTTAAAAAAATGTGTATATTTCTATTCAGAGTACTATAAAAATGTATATATTAGTTAAGTGTTCCATATGTCAAGGATTGTTCAAAGCTCCTTACACACATCCTCTTCTTTTATCCCCATTGCAACCTCACAAGATAGATGCTTATGGGTTTTTTTCAATGAGAAAATTGTTCGAGTCCTGGACAAGCGACTTAAA